TAAGTTGTAATCGTTTATTTAAACTGAATGGTTTTTGGAAAACCATCAAACCCTTACAAATAGCAGCTACAAGAACCTTAATATAGATGCAAAGCATTACAAGACTGACCCTCAGTAAGAGGTCAAAATTTTTTAACTTTCGCTATCGTATCAGAGATAGGTTTTTTTCTTGGTGAGCCGGACCTCGTTGCAATGCAGCTCTTCTTGGAGTTTGCGCCTTGAAGAGGAGTAAGAGGAAACCATTTTCTTTGCCTTGATTTCCCCGCCTTTGTGGTCCTTCACTTTGGTGTGGTCTTCTTTTTCTATTTTGTGCTTACCTCAACAACCCGAGGCTCCCTACTGTCGCACCGAATCTTTGAGCCATAGACCGAGTGGAAAGTGATTAGCAGGGTTGTGATGTCCTGTTGCAGATTGTGTCTCAGTCTTTGAGATGCTTCCCCTTCTTCATTCCTAGTCCCATATGATCCAAACTCTCCCTCTTCCAAGTATTGTACCACCACATCTTGGTTCAACAATTCGCTTTTCCTGATTTATCACTCCTTAGAGCCTCTCCTAGTGAAACTTTGGTTCAACAATTCGCTTTAGAGCTTGTCTGCGGGTCTTTGAGTTATTAGATGACTCCACAAGATCATTTTCTTTGGAAATCCTTAAGGAAGGAGAACGACTTGCATATCTTTAACTACGAGAAACCGATCTAGGTTGTCTAGCCTATGTGTGCCTCTCATCTTAGCTAGTGAAAGACAATTCTCTATGGATTTGGGTTCATAAATCTTGTTTGTGCTGGTGCATAGATCTTTTAGACTATCTCTTGATTAGGTGTTACGAATATCACGACATTTAGGGTATCTTTAATTGGCCAGTAAGCTAGCCGTTCTTTTGCCGGATTATGTTTTTGGAGTCTGTTTTCTCCTCTCGCTTCTTTTATGGGGTAATTGCAAATTGCCACTTTGGTGTGTACATTTGCAAGAATGTCACTTAGGGGGTGTCCATTTGCAAAAATGTCATTATTATGGATTTTTAAAGTCTAGATTTTAAAATTATAAACCATAAAAAATGTTTTGACCCCTAAAACCCCTTAAACTCACAAAACTAAACCCTAATACAACATAATTAACCCAAACATAAATGATATAATGAAAAAAAAAGATTTTAAAAATGTGACATTTTTGAAAAGTGGCATTTGAAAAGTGACATTTTTTTAAAATTTATCTTGTTTTATATTTGTTTATCTTTTAAAACTAAAATAATTATATCTATATTCAATGATTCGTATTGTTAGTAGTTAAAAGTTCAATCTAATTATTTTAATAACACCCCCCCTAAAAATTTAGTCATTAACACTT